GCCACTGGTTCTCTCCCCCAGCGCCCTGAGGCGGCAGGAAAGGGCCGTCCGGCTCCAGAAGATCCGCAGGCAGATGGAGGCGCCGGGCGCCCCGCCCAGGACCCTGACGCGGGAAGCCATGGAGCAGATCCGGTGAGGCCGGCCGCGCGGAGGCGGCCGCGGTCTCGCGGAAAAGGGTTTATCTGTGCGCGCAGTAGCTGGGGTGCAGGCCAGAGCAGAGTGGGGAGCAGAGCAGGCGGATCCCCTGAGACCCACGGCTGAGGGGGCGGCGGGGAGAGGGGGCGTCTGCTGCGCCCTGGGACCCTCCCTGGTGGGGATGGACTGACCGCAGTGGCTGAGACCGCTTTACGGAGCTGAGACTGACCCTTGCGCCCCAGGACGGCCCTTATCATCTCTTCTGTTTTTGGTCACCTCAGGATTCCTAAAAGGAGTAGATGAGCTTGATGACGCAACTGGTCCGTTTTTGTGGGCATTTTAAGAGTAACCCCGAAATAGTAGATCCCGACGTCCTTAACCTGGTGGGAAGCTCAGTACCTGAGGAATGTCTGAGATGCTCTGAAGTCGGTTTGGAAGAGGTCACGTGTTGCACACGGGGGGCTTGCAAAGTCATTTCCTGGGGCTTTTTTCCAGCTCTCCTTGCACAAGTGAAAGCCAGTGAACACAGACTGCACCCGGCCCTCGGTCACAGGCCTCGAGAAGCACTGCCTTCCTCTGCCCTTCACCGGGGTCTGTCTGCGCCAGGAGAGCCCTGTCCCTGTAGCCAGCAGCCACTGCTGGCCAGTCCGTGCGTGTGCCCTCCGTCTGCTGGCACAGCTGGCGCTCCAGGGAGTGACCACGCTGCCTGGTGGTTCACCTGCTGCCCTGCGGGAGCCACAGTGGGGTTGCGGGTTCAGGGACAGGGGCTTGCGCTTCGATGCACTATGCCACCCGGCTGCACGCGGTCAGCACTGGCCATCCCCAGCCATCCCGGTCATGGCGCCCGACCCGAGACTTGGGGAACTGCTCGGTACTGTCAGCCATGGCACATCATAGGTTGTTTCCTTTCCCATCTCGAGCCACAGCTTTTTCACACCCCTGCTTTCCTGCCTGTCCCTCCTCTCGCGGTCACTGCCTAAGAGAAGACAGGCGCCGGCTGAGAACCACCCTCCCTCCCTTCCCTGTCTCAAACCCTGCCAGCCCTTAGCGCCTGCTGGGTCAAGCCCTCCCTGGTCCCGAGGGACCCAAGTCTGTCTAGGGACCGACTCGCGTTTCCTGTGTTCCAGCTGGCTCCCGGTTGCCTGCCTCAGTTGTTCGTTTTGTCCCTGCGGTGACACTTTCTCCGCAGGCCTTTTGGTGCCTCTGGTTTCCGCTCCCCTGACCCGTCCGCGGCATCTCAACTTGGAGTCTGCTTTTTAAAATTCTCTTCTCCCTTGACCCGGGTGCCACCCACTTCTGTTTCAAGAACTGCTTTGCTTAGTCTCCAGCCCCTTGGGCCGCCCCCTAGGGGTGTGTCGCCCACCGTCTTAGCAACCGAATGCAGCTCCGGCCACCTGCTCTTGGCTCTTCATCCCAGTCTGTCATCTGTCTGCGTTTCTCTATAAACGCTGCCCCCCACTGTGTTCTGGACACCGGTGTTCGGACGTCCCGGGGTTTCTGAAGCTGCACGTGGACAGAGTAGACTTGTCTCTGACAGGCTTAGTTGTTACTGTAACCCTGGTCCCATCAGCACCCCAGCTGGGGCCTGCGTGTGGCCTGCTTCCTCCCCCTTGGCCTCCTGAGCTGTGTGCCCACCTCTCTTCCGCTCCCAGCTGTCGCCCCCTCAGGCTGCCTGGGTTGCTGTGACAGCCTCTAGCCTGACTTTCCGCCTCCATCCTGCTGCTGGTCCTGCTGCTGAGCAACCGCCGCTGGGCCGGCTCTCAGGTGCAGACTCGCTGACGACACTCCCTGCTGTAGTGAGCTCTGGCTCGCAGCGGCTTTGCGCTAGCCGCAGAAGGCCGCGGCCAGTGGGCCTGCCCTCCCTTGACGGTGCCCCGGCCGAGGTGACTCGTCCTCCCACCCCAACCTGCGCTGTGCCTCTGGCACCTTGGCCGCCGCCTCTCCTGCTCGCCACTGCTCACTGCTCCTTTCCACCGTTCAGGACAGCTCAACGTGGGCTTTGGCGCCGCCTGGGGCCCCACAGGGCCTGGCGAGTGCGCTCAGAGCCTGCAGGACACTCGCCGTGGTGTCGTGTATCCATGCAGGTGCCTCCACCACAAGACTGTTCTCTGAAGGGAAGAGCCATCCTCATGCATCCCCGGGATCTGGCTCTGGAGGCGGGTGGGCAGTGGGTGTGAGTGGGCACACGCGGGCGGGCGGGCGGGCACTGCTGCCGAACAGCCGCTGGAGCGCAGCCGCCACATACGCGGCTGGGAGGCTCTCGGTGGGCTCCACCGGGGCGGGCGCTTCCTCATCACAGCATGAAAACTTCTTCCTTTTCCCCATAGGTATTTACATAAAGAATTTGCGGAATCCTGGCCTGTTCCCAGGCTGGCGGAAGGCTTTGATGTCAGCACTGATGTGATCCGGAGGGTGTTAAAAAGCAAGTTTGTACCCACGTTGGAACAGAGACTGAAGCAGGATCAGAAAGCCCTTAAGAAAGCGGGACCTGCCCGCTCACTCGGCCAGCTCCGGGGCTCTGGGGGTACTTCAGAGCCCCCTTCTGCAGGCTGCCCCCCATCAGCCACTTTGCTGATGTCAGGCGATGAAGTCCCATCCAGGGGCCACAGTCACAGCATCGCTTTGGACGTGACGGAATCAAACACTCGAATGGCAGATGCACCAGGGAGACCGAAGGGAAGGAACAGGGGGACCCAGGCCTGGGGGCGGGGGCGCTGCGTGGCTGTGCCCGGAAGCCAGAGCTCGCGGCAGGAGCCCTGCGCCCTTGCTGGGCAAGGTGCCGGGGACACCCGCCTCCCTGAACTGCCAGCTGGCGAGAAGCTGGGAAAGTCGAAGATGGGGGAGCCGGGTGACCAGAATTTCAGCAGCAGGGTAGTGCAGAGGGGCCGAGAGTTCTTTGACGGCAACGGAAACTTTCTGTACAGAATCTGAGCTGGAGCCGGGCTTGTGGAGACAGACAGCTGCGCCTGTGTTTAGAGTTGTCTGGCTCTGAGAGGGTTAGCCACCGTGGGAGAGGAAGAAAGGAGCCTGGAATTGGGAGGAAACAGCTGCTTGGATTTGAACTTAACAGCAGTGACCACAGAGCAGTGTGGGGGAGAGTGACCGGCGCATGAAGGCCAGCCTGTGGGGACCCCCTGCCTACCAACCCTGTCTGGCTCTGGAGTCAGCCCCTGCTGCGTGGGTCGTAGGACCGTAGTGTTTGGGAGGAAATTGTGTCTTCACCCTCCTTCCCTTCTTGAATCATGAACACTAGCAGTTCTCTTAGTTGGTCGTTTCCATTACATGCAGAATAAAGTGGAATGTCGCAGCCTGTGGTTGGTGCTTTCTGTGGTCAGAGGGTTTGCCTGTGACTGGAGAGTGAAGGAGGGAGGAGGCAAAGAGCCCGTTGTGAACATGGAGGGTTGCAGAGGAATTCCCAACGGGACTCTGCCGATCACCCTGCTTGGGTGGATTTTGAGAGCCAAAACTGACTTATTTTAGTGGCTGGAGGTTGCTGGGTTATGACGGGGCTGACTGCAAAAACTACGAAGAAAGCAAAGCGGGGGAAGCTGAAGGGCCTTAGCATACTCCAGTCACTTCCAAAATGAAGTAGTAGTCCACTGTTTTCACCAAATGTTTACAAAGATGCTGCGATGGGGCAGTGAGACCATTTGAACGTTTTTGGCTGGCCCGGGCCACGCCACTGGCCAGTGGCAGCACTGGCCCGAGTCCCGGCTGGGCTCCGACGCGATGACGTGGGCCTGTCGGGAACCTGGGAACCTAGCGCTGCCTGGTCTGATTGCCGGTTTAGTGATTGTTACGGCCAGGGAGCCGCTGTCCATAGCAGACCTGCAGGCAGCAGGGGCCCGGTGACAAGTTTTCACCTGTGTCTTCGTTTTAACAGCTTAAGAGCAAAAACAGTTTCTTCAGGTTTAGCGTATGTAGAATGTTCTCCAACCCTGTCGCTGATCCCAGTTCATAGGGTGTTGCTACAAATGTGGCCACATCATAGGTGCCTGTTACCATGAGCATTTATTCACTTGGATGCCAAGACCCTGTCAGCTGTCAGGGAATCCAGCTGCTGGTCAGAAGCCTGTTTCAGGGTAGAAGCGCACCATGACAAGCTGTCATTTGCCAGGCCTCCCTGGTGGCACGGGGTTATGTCCCAGTCAAACTCACTAGCCACTGGCATGAGTTCAACCCCCCACCAGGACGTGACCCACAGCGTGCAGCAGACTTCTGTCTCCCTCTGCCCCCCTCAGTGTTTCTGTCAATCCCGTCTTCTGTTCCCCACTCTCTCTGGTGAGCCCCTCACATACACCCTTCCCTGCATCTCTACCTGCACCCCTGTTCCTGTGTGCATATAAATAAATCTTTAAAATAAAAAGTGTCCTGTGCCATTAGGACCACTTCACTGAGACTTCAGATTTGCATTTCTAGCTTTGGCAAGGCGCTTGACCACGCCCACTGGGGGAAAAATGGGCTATGGAGAGTTAAGCCTGATGGGAACTTGAATGTCCTTTCCATTTACCTCAGCCTCTGCCATCCTGTTATAGCTCAAGTAGACGTAACTTTTATTCCATCCGAAGATGCCATTCTTAGGCTTGGGCTGCTGTCCTTTGTCCTCTGACTGTCATGCAGGGCTCCTTGTCTCCCTCTCAAACCAAATGTTACTTTCCCGGGCTCCTGCGTCACCAGCTGGGGCCGCCCCCTTCCTGTTCTTGCTGTCAGAGCCGCTGTGGAAGCCCGCACCTGAAGTGCTGTGGTGCTGCCCTGGCTAGCAGGCGGCCCCACGGGGCAGGAGACCTGTGGTTGCCGTACTTGCAGCTCCCCAAATATTGATAGTGGGTGAAGGGAGAGATGGGTGGGGGGCCACTGCTGTGACCCACAGTGGGGGTGTTGCCCCGGGGAGGTGTAGGGCGCAGTGAGCCGCCACCGCCTCCAAACACCGCGTTATTTCAGCTTCTGTACTTCAGTATAAGGACTTTAGGGCCATAAAGGTCATCACTATACCTTTAAGGTCTTCAGAATTCCCCTGTATTCCTTTAATATCCTCGTAGTATTTTGATGGGCTCATGAATGAGTTTTATAGTTGACTTATTTGAATTAAGATCCAGAGAAAGCCCCGCCTTGGCAGCTCTGCGGTGTGTTCATATACCCCCCACTTAGCTTATACCCCCGACGGCTCCTTTAAGATTTCCACTTCCACTTCGTTTTGGTTTTTTTTTTTTTTTTTTGAGGGGCCTCATCATTTGCTCCCCATGAGTTCCTGCTTTCGTACATGGCTGATTTCATCCCCGTGATGTCCTTTAACATGTTTCTATTTCCTATAAGCTGGCAGTCCTTGAGGCCTGGTCAGGTTTAAGTTTTGGGAAGGGGTGAGGTTCTGAACTTCATGCATCTCACCAGGTTATAACGTCATGGTTTGTGCGTTTAGGCATCATCCGCTGGGGCTACCCACATGGCTGTTGTAAGCTTGCTTTTATTTGTTTTTTTTACTTTATTTAAAAAAATTTTTATAATAGTTTGTTTTACATATTTTTATGCATTTTGCCATCTCAGTTGCAATCCCCTTGGGTTTCCCATCACCAAATCACCCATTATTTGTTTATGTTAGCGAGGTGTATGTTTTGTTCTTTGTCAGCCAGATATAGACCTACCTCTCACCCCTGAAACTTCCCCAGTTTCCTTTCCCGATGGTTGTCAGCCCCAAAGTCGATCAGTTTTCTCATTTCTTTTGTCATAGGTGTTCTTCCTGTTCTAGAGTCTTCGCTCACGTCATCGCACAGGTGCCTCCTGGCTTTCCATCTATTATTTTTACTGTATGAACACGCCACAGCTCTCTTATTTCCTACGCCGCCGGGCACAGTCAGAACCCGGGCGTCCCAGGCGGGGGCCTGCCGCGGGGTGTGGGGGTGTGGGGGGTCCCGCCCCTGGCTCCCCACGCAGGCTGGCAAGCCGGAGCTGCCAAGCACGTGGAGCGACGTCCGCGCCGGCTCCGCCTGTTTTAGTAAGCCCAGAAACTCGACAGTGCCGACTCTCGCTCGAGTGAGGCAGGAGGGCTGGGTGGCTCCCAAAAGTCGGCGCAGAGTCCAGTCCCCAGGGGCACGAGAAAACGCCCCTCCCCCGGGAGGCGCGGAGCGGCCGCGCAGCCGCAGCCCCGTGTCTCCTCCGGCGCGCCGTCGCCTTCCCGGCAGGCTCCGCGCCG